ATTTGCCTGGAAAATTATCATAAATATAGTTATGATCTACTTTTTGAAATCTTCCAGTGGTATCTCCCCTATCATAATTATCGGCTACAGGTTCTCCTAGTTGGAACGTCATGCACGTACAATCCATAACACTTCGAATTAGTTGCCAAAAATACACTTTTTTCATCCGCTGACGAAGTCGTTATCGAAAATCCACCAGTCTCTTCGGTATTTCCACAAGGACAGCTCTCTTCTTTCAGTGGGTGAATTATAATGTTGGTAATCGCACCCTCATGGGAAACGCAATCTTCAGTTTCGTCAGTCTCGTCCCAAAATTCATATTCATCGTACTCTTCAGACCAATCTTGTTCCGAGTCAGATAAATCCTGTTGGCTTATGTACGATTTTCGTAAAGAATTCTTAGTTTTATTCTGTTGTTGCTGAAATAATAATTGTTTCTGCAATAATTGCTCTTCTCGCTCTTTTGCGCGCCTCTGTTTTTCAGAAATTCCATAACTTAATCTCGTTATGAATTTTCCTGTAAGGTAATCATATACTCTGACCTCCCCATCCGAAGTTCCAGTAACAACGATACCAATACATCCCTTCTGGGTTTTGACTACTTTAGCAGCTACACTAGTAATTGCGTTTCCAAATTCTCCTGGTATTGTGTAGAACAACTTCCATATGCTCTTGTGTGATTCATTACAATCTGAATTAGTATTATCGGATTCATTGTCCAAATCTTCAACTGTTCTAACCCAGCATTTGACAGATCCGTCTCGTGCTCCGGTAAAAATACGTAACTCATTTTTATTGTAATTTTGTTCACCATCATCAACTACCAAAAGACAGCTAATGCCACCCTTTTGATTTGTGTCAACTGTATGAGTAATCTGACCAGAAGCGAGATCCCATTCTTTAAAATACCCATTTCGGTAGGTTGCAAGAAGTATGGCTGGTATTTTTTGATCCGATATTGATTTAGACATACAGTAAGAGTATCCGTGTTCATGAGTCGGTGTATTAGGTATCTTAGAATGGGAAGTTGGTACTATAATTTGCAAGCACATAACTCGTTCTTTTATTGAATGACTATTTGAATGACCATTTGAATGACCATTTGAATGACCATTGGACGACGTCGCTTGTTCGACATCTTCAACGGTATCTTTCAAAATATAGGTAGCTTGTCCTGAGTTTATATCCCATACTCGCACTACGCCATCTTCAAACCCAGCCGCCACAACCTCAATATTTTCATTCATGCACATTGCCCGAACCGGCCATGAAATACAACTTTTTATCCCTCCAATGGTACTACATTTGCACAACTCACAACGTCGCATAAATCTTTCAAGTTTTTTTAATGGCATACCTTTCTTTCCATTCCATGATGTAATATGTCTGTCAGCAGCAGTTGTAACTATAATACCTCTCAAGTTCGAACAAATTAAATCAATATCAGCTAAATGATGACCACGCAAAGTTACAACTCGTGGCGTGGTAACACACAAAGTAGATCTTCCGAAAGATGAAGATGCAGGTAAAATGATTCTATCAACCTTATTTCTTTTTTTTTTTGACAATCTTGCAGCTCGAATTACCATATCCTCTGGTAATAAAAAGCCTACCAAGAAAGATATTGTAAACGCAATACCGGTAGCAGGAAATACAGTGAATTTGAGAACCCAAATGAAAGCTTTTATAGATTTATTTGTAATTAATTTCCAGTTAACACCACTACCATCGACTATACAGATCCCGTTATCATGAATTTCCTGTGTAGCTTCATAAGACAATGTTAAATGTCTAGAAGGTCTAATTTCAGCAAATTGATTTTTTTGGTCCGGATTAACAATGCCCCAAAATTTATCAGCAGTGATAGCCTTTGATGTTTCCCAATATGTGACGTTTGTACATGTATCAGGAAAAATTAGAGCATCACCAACAAAGGCCAATGCAGACTTGAGAGGTGGCAAATCAATATTGGATTGATAAACATTGGTTACAGCTACCATGAAAATGAGAACCTTTGTAGGAAAGAGAATGTCTCTCAATTACGTATAGATAATTAATATAATAACAATAATGTGAATTTAACATACCACCAATGAACTACCGATCCTACGGCCATAATTGATTGTTTTTGAAAGCGGAATAACATCTTTATCGTCGCTATCCGGTTCTCCAATGCGATTATTAAATAAATTGGACATCTATATAATCGACTATAATATTGATAAAACTAATTGGACTAATAAAAAGCACTTATGCACAATAAATATGCATTATACCTCTAGTTCTAATCTTTCAAGGTCAATAGATAAAGTCGCTATGAAAAACGACATTTGTAGCATATAATCAATAATCATAGCAATCGAGGTAAAAATGCAGAATTCTTGAATCGACTCAATATTTATTGCCGAACATATCAGCAATATTAAGAGCCAAATTATTAGTGTTTTTGTAATTGAATATCCAACTTTTTCCAGACCTAAAAAAGGCATATCATGAGCCAAATATATAATTTATCAAAAATAAAGGACCTGATATAAGAATATACGAACATATTACCTCTGGCAACACGTTCTTTTACATTCAATTGCATGGGAATCGCTGTTACAGCATTTGTTAAAATAAACATATTCTCAACACCGACCAGGATAAAAACAAAAGGCAATAGTTTCCTAAATGAAAGAATACATTGTACTATTGTTTGTATGAATAAGACATTTGATGTACAAATGTCATTATATACTCACCAAGATACGGAGACAATTGTTAATGTGACACCAAATAGAGAGCAGATACTAAGTGACATAATTAACGAGGCAAACACTTGAGCCACAGTTGAGAAGGCAAGACCAAATTTAGACATGACGAAATTAAGACGATCCGTTGAAATGATGATGTAAAGAAAAAAAATTAAGTATGCCAACAGAAGAAGAGCCCATTCTGCCGAAGATTCTAGAGAATTATTATGATCTAACTATGGAGATAATTATGTACTTAATACGAGAAAAGAATATATAAAATAATTTGCAAATGATAAGAAATGAACATACTCTAAAAGATAAATATTTTAATTCACCCTGATTATTCATGTTTACACTTGTAATGCGATCGCCACCAAGATAGAAATCAGTGCCAATTTCATCTATAACTTGTCGCCAAATTGCTTCCCAAATTGCTATTGTTTGACCTTCATTGCAATCATCCATATCTTTTAAAAAATAGGTTAAAATGATCGAATCTGCACTAGTAATGGATCTTTTCTCATATATGACATTTCCAAAGACTGAATTTAAAGGAATGTTCATTACACGAGATGTTTTGTTTGTCCTTGATAGTGTTGTGAGAATAGAAGGATCGGAAGAAAGATGGTCGGCACTATTCGACCAATATTCAAGTGGCGAATGAATCAAACATATATTACTATCAAAAGGCTTAAAACACAAATCCGAAAGTGAATATTTTTTGCTGGTCAAAAGGGGTGTATCTGAAAGCTGGTTAGGATGCATTACAATTGCATTCGCGATTTTTTCTTGCAAACTTAAAGTCCACAATAATAAATCTTTTTCCAAAACACTTGCACCACTGCCTTTATGTTTCTTTGGATCAGCTGTTTTTTTAATAACAATCTGCTCTACAAAGAAAGAAGGTTGAGTGCCACATTTCTCAACAAATTTATCCTTTGTTACTTGTAATCTAGATGAAGGTACCTCCCAAAAGAACGCATGACTAACATCTTTGACGGGATTTAAGTAGTAAGCATCAAAAGCGGGATAACACAGGGGTAAGACAATGAGGATCGCCAGAACAATCACCAGGACTTGGTGGGAAGCACAAAACTTTGCATGACGATAAAAAAATTGTGCCGCTGCTTTAGAGCCAATTTTAACTTGAGCAGAAAGCGTAAATACGGCCATTATGTAAATTATTTATGAGAAAAAATTTTGAATTTAAGAAAATCCTATTGACGGGCAGGGACGTCGACATGAAAAACTGATTTTCGGATTTTTAATATTTTGCCTGATTTTCGGGATGCAGAGCCCCTAAATTTTACCCTAAATTTCGACCAATGGGTTAAGCGTTAACAATAATCGTCATTGAACTTTATTCCGGTACTGAACTTATATGGCTGCGGTCAATAGAAAACAAGCTTTAAAAAAAAAATTAATACCTTAACAGCTCATATCTCGACAAATTTTAAAGCTTCATAGCCAAAAAAAAGTTTGAAATCTAAGCTTTCTTTTAACTCTTGAATTATTAAAATAGCTTTTCTGTTGACAGCAGCACATATAAAAAAGTTCAATATTTTGTCCAGTCCAATTAGTATCTGATATGTTTATATCTTTATATAAATGCAGATAATTTTTGATCTGCTGATCCCGTTTGCCACCAAAACGATTGCCTTTATCGAATCTAAAATTGCAACCCCTGTAGATCACCCACAAACAAAAAATTTTCCGGCACGTGACTAAGCCACTTTTACTATGGCATGCACTAATTTTTAGTACCCCACGGATGCTGGAATATAAATAAATATCGATATATTTACTGTAAAAGGTACCCGAGTATCTTGCATGACTTATACTCCCCTGTATTTGCTAAAATTTTTTATATGATTAACTGCGCTGTAGTTTGGGTTAGGATTAAAATAACTTCATGCCTAATAGTAAATTTCACGAAGAGCATTTTTATTAGTCCGCAGAAGGTGGTCTTAATTAAATTTCGAGTAATTCTGTTTTTTTGTAAAAAGTGGTTTCGCTTCGATTGTTTACGTCACACCTGATCTTGAAATTTGATTGGTCAAAAAGACCTATTGCGAGATAGAAAATGACATCATTGTACATGGATTTGTAGGCGTAATATGATGCTTAATCATGTGAAGACTGGTATATATGGAAAACTGCATTAAAAAGATTTCATCTTTGGTTT